TTAAGCTACTCTACCTGCTCAGCTTTAGCGGCTTTGTGTTTGTTAATTAGTTATTAAGCACCAACTGCTTTCTGAACAAAAGAAGCAGATATCAGAAAGTACAAAGTGATTATAATGATATAATATTTGTAAGCTTTCTGTGTGCCAATACGTGTACAGGACTTAACTATAGACCATCTACAGACTTTTATATGTATTTGCATTTAATTTTCACAACCACTTTGTGAGATAGGTGGTAGGGTTTACATCTTAGTGACATTTTATATTAACTTAGAAGGGGATCTGAACCACAGACTTGGAGGTAGCATCTCAGTTCAACATCCCATAATTAGAAGAACTTCTGTATATTTTTGGAGCTCTGGTAATGAGTAGTGCTTTCTTTCTTTCTTTCTTTCTTTGCTTAGGGTTTCTGAAACAGGATCCAACAATCAACCTCTTAGTGATAATCAACAAACAAATTGTGAATATTTTGTTAATAGCCTTTTTGAGGAAGCCCAGAAGGTTGGTGCCAAATGCTTGTCCCCTACTGAACAGAAGAAAGAGGTAAATGTCTATTACTTTTTAATCTTCTGGTATTTCTCAAAATAGGGATCTTTTAGAGGAGCCCTGTTTTCCTAATAGTAAAGGTATTATTTACCACCTACACTGTGTTGATCTTTCATAGATGTTGCAGAAGTAATGATGGGTAAAATTATGCAAATCTTAGCAGGATTCAAGGCAGTGACAGCAAATTGAAGTAGAAATTATTGTATTCTTATAAAGAAAAAACACTGGTTTCAATTAATACCCTGATGAAACAGTAAAACTTTTAAATTTTATTTTGAAACAGAGTCTCTCTAAGTTGCCCTGTCTGGCCTAGAATTGTGATCCTCCTACCTCAACCTCTCAAGTAGCTGAGATTACATGCGTTTACTGCCACACCCAGCAAATCAAAGATTTATTAATCCCAAACATTGAATATATATCATTAATATTCTGTTTGACAAAATGTGAAATAAACATAAAGCAATTCTGTGTGTGTGTTTGTGTGGTTTTGTTTTTTTTTTTTCTTTTTGGTGGTGCTGGAGTTAGAGGGCCCTCACTTAGGCTAGATAAGCACATTACCACTGAGCTACATACATCCCCAGCCCCACAGAAAGTATTTCTGCAGTATACAGAAATATCATATGGAAAAGTGCAGTTGTTTGAGGTACAGATTGAACTATCTGCTTTTTCTTTTTTCTTTTTTTTTTTAACTATCTGCTTTTTCATGGCATATAATTTTTGTCTGAAAGAATGATTTATGCATAGACTACAGTTATTCAAACGTGGGATTTTGGCAGATATTTTCTCATAATAAATAAAGAGAGCCTGGCACTTGAAGGAATTCAACTTTTAGTATTTGTGTGCAAATGGTAAAATTTTACTTAACCAACTTTTGTAGTAAAAATAAGAATTTTGGAACATTTCAATCATGTACTTGGCAACTTCTCAACATTTACAGAATTTCCTGATGAGATCA